CCTGTTCTGAGCAGGATGCTCAGGGCTGCTCCCAGCCAGGTCTGGGGTGGCACAATCTCAGGAATGGGCAGTTGGCAATGCCTATATTGGGAGGCTGCACAGAGGGCTTGTGGTATGGAACATCCTCTGAGCAGCACTGCAAAGCTCAAACTCAGCAGCAGGACTGTGTACAGAAGGCAGGAAGGTGCTTTACCACACATTTATTTCCATTTCCCACCCCAAATCAGTATAAAAGTATAACGGATTATGAGGCAAAAACTGTCCTTGGCTAAGAAGGAAAATTAAAAGTATTTCCTTAATAGGAAAAAAAATAACTTTAAGTAATAACAGTAAATTATTGAAAAAATTACTACTAACATTCTGGGAGAGGATAGAAAAAGAACAAGAACAGGACTGAAATACCAGAGCATGAATGGGTTTTTATAACGCCCCATTTTTCCACACGAGCTCTGCGAGATCACTTAAAATTGGACATTTAGTAGAAGTTGGACTAAGTTGAATTAAAAAAATTAAAGGATAAGGTAATAAGAACAGCTACATTTACATAATGTGAAGTTCACAAACGTGGTCAGCTGTGCTGCACTGAAGCCATGTGAGAGCTCCAACTAAATCTGACCAGCAGCAGTAGAAAGTCGCTACACATCCCAGCCAGAAAAACTGAGCATCTCATTAAAGGCAGTAATGATACAGCTGGATAAACAGAGTATGCCAGAACCAGAGCAGATAAGGAATGAGTTTGGGCAATAGCATGGCTGCCCTTCCTCTAACAGGGTTGAGCTGATGCTGTGCTTTAGGATTGCTGATCTCACAGGAAACAGCGAGAGAGAAGAAGTGGCAGAAGGGAAGAATATTACTAAATCCCGGAAGTGGAAAAGCATGGCTCTAAATAGAAGAGCTGTTTTTTTTCCTAGGATATGCTCACTGCTAGAGAAGTAAATTGCTCCTGTGCTTGAAGAGAAAGGGAAGAGGTAAGAGAGGAAAATCTGTGCTGAGTGGTGAATGTGCAGCTTCTGCTGGCCAAAAACAATGAGAGAAAAAATAAGTGAACAGACTGAGTGGGTGTAAGAACTCAAAAGGAAAGAAAAATGAATAGAGTGGAAATAAAGGAACTGCTGCCATGGAAGAGCAAAGTATAGTCCAAATCACTGAGCAAAAATGATATAGCTGCATTATGTGAGGCATTCAGATAGGAACATTCCAAGGGCAACTGCTCATTTTGGATATCTGTGGGACAATTGTCATTACAAGCACAGACGTCTCTCTGGTTTTCAGTTACTGGAGTGCTTTTGGGGAAGAGAAACCTCTTCTCTTTGGCAAGGAGCAAAATCATTTTCTCCTGATGTGTTTTGTTACAAAATCAAAATCTCCAAGCAATTCTATGACAACAAGAAAACAAAAAAGCAGTAAAAATATGTTTAAAAAGCAAATAAATAAAAAACCATGAAGTCTCAAGCAAAGCCTTGTTCAATGAGAGAACAAAACTGCTTCATAATGGTGAAGATAGACCAGGGAGGGGTTCAGCAGCTCGGTGCAGGAGGGATATTTCCCCAGAGACCTCTGGATGTAGGACTTCTGCTTTGTGGCACCCCCCTTTGGGTTTCAACTCCTAAGGAAGGTTTCCTACCTATTTATGGACTGTTTGTCAATCGACCAAAAGGGGAACGTAGGTATTTTTCTGCCTCTTTCAACTCCTAGATCTCATCAGCCTCCCCCAGCAGACCCAGCTCCAAGTCTGCAGTCTGGGTGCTGCTGCCCTCAGGGAAACCTTTCAAAACCACAACATTGATGCAATCCACCTCTGTGTGCTGAGGGGAAAAAAAAGCACAGTGCTTCTAGTCACACCATGAAGAATATGCTGAAAGACCTCAATCATTCCCCAACATACCAACACAGGAAAGAAAGAGAGCTCTTTCCTGTGGGCTTTGTTATCAGCCTACTATGGACAATCTGAGGTCACAGCCCTAAAAAGGGAGCAGAGGTTTTTTTTACCTGTTGCATCCCTGACAGCCCTCCTGTTTGTCGCTGATAACTGGGCAAACCAGCAGAGCACACAGATGCTGCTGTGTGCTTCTGGGCAGGGCTTTCAATCCTAATTGAAGAAGCCAACTGGGACAAAAAAAACACGAGGAAGCCCACTCAGCAGCCTAATTAGATTCAAATAAGTAAACTGTTTACTCGAGAGAAAACAAATAGCGTATGCCCATGATATATACCTAACATCTAGGTGAAACAATACATCGTGCACCTTTCAGATGGTTCTCCAGTCACAAAACTTACACTGCATTTACAACGCTACTGTGCATATCTGTAGATTAACAGCTTAATATAAATCTACTGATATAAAGAAGTTGTTCAGTCTCCTGTTTGTAAATCAAGAATGACAAAGAAATGAAAGGATACACAGATGGTTACCCCAGGAGCCACATATCAGGAAGAAGAGCCGAAACCAAATATTCCTCAGTCCTACTCTGCCTGTTTATTCTCCCTTAAGGTAAACTCTTTTTCTCCTACATTTTATCTCTGCAGACAGTCATGAAAAGTACTTTATTACTCATGATGGAAGTGAAGAGAGTTTGTTTCTTTCTCTCTTTCCATAAAGCTTTTATTTTGCTGGAAAGCAGATTTAAGGAATGCCCCATTGCAAGAGTTTAAGGGTTACTTTAAACTGGGACACAAAACTACAACTTCTGACATCATTTCATGGCCTGTTCAGGAAAGCATTCAAGCGTGACATTGTACCATTAGGTATAATACAGCCATTCCAGAGGCACTGATTACTGCAATGAGAACTCATCTTCTTTAGCAGTATATGCGATAAGGAATGAATAAAAACCCAGGCCAGAAACATCACTGTAAAAAGGCAGGCTATGTACGAGAATGGAAAAAATCTATAGACATCTTCTGGGGAACTGGAAAAGAAAAACCCGCAGTGCCAAGTGGGATTCGGGGGATGCTGAGCATCCCTGGAAAAGAAGATCTGTATTTCCCCCCATCCAGTCCCAATCCTTGGGGTTTAAGGTCCCTTCCAACCGTAAACACTGTATGACTCTATGACCCAAAGACAAGTCCTCAGAGTAAACAAGACTTTGCAATGTTGAGCAAAGCAGAGTCTAGACAAGTCTTGAATTCTGGGGCTGGTGTCTCATGACTTCCTCCAAAGCACGAGAACTCTAAGGTGTTCCTATCTACAAAAGGTATCACAAAGATAAATTAAGTCTCTTCATAAAAAGCTGCTTTAAATGGGCCCCTCTTTCATAAGTAGACTCTTCTACCATCATGCACTTGCAAGTATTAGTAAATGAGCACTTCTGATGGATAGCCGTGCACACAGTCAAACTCCTCAGGGCCTCGAGTGCCCATTGAGCTGAAGATAAAAGAATTATTTTCATATTTGATCACATAAATGTCACTGGAGATATTTGCAACAGCCCACTCTAATCTTTCTGTAGGTAGACGGAGGCATATTCGACAATCAGTTTTCAAGATATACTCCAGTGAGACCCTTATGTGACCTTTCATTAGAAGTAAAATAATTTACGACTACTTCCACTCCCTGGCATTATATGACACTCCTCCCAGTACCGCAGCCTCACTTGATTTGTGACAGGAGGTACACAGCCCACAAGTTATTAACAGAAAAAGATAAAAGACTCCATCCCAACAGCACTTCAGTGCAATAATGATAATGAAATTTACTATCGTACCTGTCCAACACCAGCAGATGATTGCATCCTACTGGTAAACCAGAACCGTCTTTAACATCAGCACAGCTGAATTCCTACTGGACTCAGGTCTCATGACACAAAGAGAGAGGCAACAAAGCAGAAGCACAAAGCTTCTCTGCCCCTTGACATTCCTGTTTGTGTACCTCCTCCTGCACGTGGTCTCCATGTGCTTTCTTAGCAACTTCGTTGCTTTCCAAGATCAGAAGAGCAGATCCACCAAGGCCAAAGCAAGGCTTCAATCTTAGATAGAAATTTCCTGTTTATTATTTGCAGGAGCCCATATTGCTATGAGCTAAATCTCAGCAGTAAGCTATCTACTTTTTCCCTCTGCATTACGTACATAATTATTTGGCTATAAAGTTGATCCAAAGATCAACAGATCAAAGATCTAGAAAAAAAAAGTCACAAAACAGCAAACATTTTTGAACAGCTGCATACAAGCCTTGCTTCAGAGCCCTTTACTTTTTGTGCAAACACCCAGCCTCAGAAAGCCATTTGAAGTGCTCCACTTCTGGGCACAGACATTTTTGCAACCAACCGATCTGCCACTTCTTTTCTGCAGGAATACATCTCCAACACTTTATCATTTATTTGCCTGTCACTGTTCTTCAGCTCTGATGGTGTGTTTCCTGCTCCTCCAACTTCATCTCAACAACTTTTCTCCTTTGCCTGTGTCATTTGCCCACATGGGCTGCACTGCAATTATCAGCTGTGCTGCTTTTGGGGGAAACATCGACCCCACAGAGATGACAGATCCTTCAATGTTCCCAGCACGACCACACTACCAGATGTCAGACTCTCATTGCCAGGGCTTGGAGAGCAGTCAGTGAATGATACTGCTCAGCACGTAGAGATTCAGCTTCCACGTTCAGTATGAGGAGACAATTATTTTTTTTCCCCTCACTTGCGCAACAAATATTTGTTAATACTGTATACATTTTTCACAGTGCCTTAGTCCTTGTCAAATCCTTAGCCAATGAATCAGCTTTAAAAGGTTATTACACTGGAAGCTGTAAGTACTGAGTATAATATAACTTGCAGCGCACTCAAAGCATGCACCAATGTTAATTATTGATTAGATCACAGTTTGATTACATTTTGGGTGACGACACCCAGGGGTTTAGATAACTGCATAAAACATTGTGTTCTGTTCCACAGAGACCCAGAATAAATCATCCTTTAGAAATAAAGCACATTATTCAGTCATTTATCAGGATTACAGTAAGATGAGTGATGGAAGTTATACAGAAGTATTCATTTTTAATGATGTCCTACCTTTGAAGAAACAGTCCTTGCTGTGGATAATGTAGATTTTCTTCCTCTGAAGACATGAGGCTCGATGTAACTGACAGTGATTTTCATAAAATTTGCCATCAGATCCACATACTGGCATGTAGCTGGACTTGCAGTCTTCTACACACCTGCACTCAGGCTGCTTGGTGTCCCTGTTCACCACACACCTACTCCCTCGGCCGCAGTACTTCTTCTCACATGATGCATGCAGGCCATCCTGACCATAAAGAACTGCACAGAGAGAGAGAAAAAAAAAAAAAAAAAAAAAATCAGTGTTAGCAATATTTACCTAACAGACCATCCTTGTCTGCTGCACAGCAGTGCACAGCCATTACAAGTGCAGAAGCTAAAAGGTTCCCAAGGCTAAAAGCACACTGTGACAGTAGCACGATGGCAATCTGCAGAGCATCTCCACTTCTGTGCTCCCAGACCTCCAGCTCTGAGTCATCAACATCTCAAGTATGTGCAGAAAGTGCTTCCCTGAGAAGTGGCAGACATGCGGCCATTCATTCTTCCATGCTTCTGCAAAATTAGACCCTACAATAGGAACTAGTGAGAGTATTCCAGTGCCAAAAATTTGGGCATGACTTGGACTCAAGAAGCCATTCTGAAAGCCTACACTCTGGCAGACTTACTGCATATAACGCTCTGAATGTTACTGCAACTGTCTGCTGTTTGATACCATTAAAAGGCAAACTGAGCTGCCCCAGTGCTGTAACATTTTCTGCTTCTGAAGTCAGAAGGCTTGCAAGAGAACATCATTATAATTCATACAGGACAGGATACTCCCAAACAAGCCACTACTCAGAGCAATAATTAGCATTACATTCAGCAAAGAGAGTTGCAGGGAATTAGATTACTCTATGCTAATTGGAGCACACAAAGCAGCAAATTGTAAAGGGAAGCTGCAAAAGGCATAATTAAAGGAGGAATAAACATTTAGCAGCGTACAACCTGCTGCCTGCTCTGCACAGCCTCCTGACAGCAGCCACCCCTGTGCTGTGACTCGATCTGGATCAGCAGGTATGAAGCAAACCCCAGCTGTCCATATTCACCATGTGTAGGATTGGCTCTCGGTGAGTTTTTGGTGTGTCCCAACCTCTCACCCCAAAACCTCCATCACACACAATGGAGATGTGAGGAGCATCAGCAATAGCTGCTTCAACTTACTGGTCCTATTTTTTTAAATGCTAAATTCCTTGCTAACAACCACATAGTCCCTGCTTGCTCAACCACTTCAAGCCACATGAAACATCCCATGTTGAGTCCACTTTTCCATCAAGCAATAAGGGATTAAAGCATGTTCATAAAGATGAGTAAAAGTTCCCACAAATCCCATTTGGTTTGGTCCCCATTAAGTCTTTGTTTTACCTGAAAGAGGGGAAAATATCTGCTGCTGGAGGATTAACTGTTTGACTCAATAACTCATTAAAATTCTTCCAACCTTAGCAAGCTAGGTAATATTGACTTTTCCTGACTCATAATAAACTAGAAGGTCAGAGCATCCCTGAGCAGTGCAAAAAAATACAGTCCCTGGAAAGCATATCTAAATATTCTTTATTTATATACTAATTGTCCCAGGGTTTCTGAAAAACATCCTCAAGAATACACACTTTGTGACCTCCAGGTGAGCTCATTGCCAAGGGCACCAGCACTCAGCCCTGCTGCCTTTTGGAGCAGCACAGAGGCTCAGGTCAGCTCCTACAGCATCCTAGAATCACTGAACCACTAAGGCTCAATAAGGTTCAAAACATGCATTGGGCACAGTGACCACCATGATACTTACAACCAAGATTGGTGTTACTGCCTACATACACATAACTGGGATACAACTACAGCACAGCCCCCCCCATGCTGATAGCTGTAATTCTCCCTAGACCCAGCACCACACAATGCACCTCACCAGAGGTTATCGCCCCTCCTGCTGACCACATCCTGCCCCAATGGCCATCACACACAGCAGCAGCACAAAGTCCTCTTGAAGCCTCAAGTATCATGATTTTTAATATTAACTTGGCATTGATGAAAGCAAAAGCAATTCCTATTGCAAAGACAACGTTGTTTTATTTTTTCCTTTTTTAAACAACACAGCAAAGATTTGTTTACCACCAGCTTATACAGCAAAGCACTCTGGCTTTTCTATCACCACCTGGTTACTATGGAGAAGCCTCATAAAGCCTGTGTGCTTTCATGTCTCGCTCCTTTTGTTCAGTTTGGTTTGTTCTGTGTTCCCAGATGAAGAACTCCTGTTTGAACAGAAAGGGAGGTGGGCTGGACAGCCCACAAACAGCATGGAAAGCAAAAGCTGTGTGATCAGTAATCCAGACACCTAAATCCAGCGATAGCAGCACACAAGCAAGGAGAGTGTTAATATAGGATTTCTTTGCCAGAATCTGATAATGCTGCTCATAGCCCCTTAATTGAATTACTCCCTGAATATTCCTTGGAGGAACTAAAGGTCCCCACACGCACACTCAGCCATGCAGACAGGCCCTGCGCTAGGAAGAGTAAGGAACACAGGACACAGAACAGTGGTGGAAAGCCAGAGGATGGAAGGTTTCCAACTGTAAAAGCTCTGCTGTCTTTACCCAGGTAAGCAATCAACCCCCAGCAGCACCGACACCAGGACCAAACAGGCAGGGCAGCAGCAAAAGCCATCGTTAGCTGTGCTGTGTTATTAGAAGTGACTGCATTCCTCACTCTTACGAGGATTATTAAAAACAGGAAAGGTAATCAAGTGAAACCACCAAGTACGTACATGTGGTACACATGAGCCTCACTGCACAATACATTCAATTTATTAGTTGCAAAGAAAGTCATACACTTAGGTTAAAGATTGGTCATCTTGCCAAACAAGCCACTTTTCAATGCTAATTAAGTTTACCCTACATGGCTAGTGATTGATTTGTGGTGTTACAGTCAAGTCAGGTTGCTGGAGAGAGGAAGCCCATTTGTGTACATCCGCAAATCCCCGTCACTTCCTCAAATCAGCTTCTGCTGCCCACGAGAAATTTGGCATTCCACTCAAAACCCAACAAAGCTGGGGTACAGGCGGTACAATAACCGAGTTTGGGAACTGGGGAAGGTGCTAATGGGTGCCTTCATCTCAAGCAAGACTTCAGGAAATGAAGATGCTATTGCTCTGTTTAGACACTGGAGGATACACGTCCTTTGGCTGCTTGTTAATTTATAATGACTTGGGCAACAGCTGCTATTACATGTCACTAAACATGTTACAGATCAGACTGGAGCTATCAGGCAATTCATTGTTTACAACATCCAAATCCAACCCTACTCCTTACCTGGGCAAAGCTCCCAAAGAGTTCAAGGAAAGGCTGGGCTGGTGACAAGCACTGATTTCACTTAAGACCAAGCAGACAAACCTATCACACACAAAGCAAAGCCAAAAACCAAACAGCTCTATCAGGTTGCTGCTCATAGAAGGCTGCTTACATGTTGCAGAAATGCAAATTACTACATTTACATTTAAGAAGCCAGTTTGTCTTCAAGGAGCAGTGCACTGCTGCAGGCAGCTGGACACCCCAGTTCATCTGTGAAGGAAAGAGCTGAGGCTTTACATCAGCCAGAACTGGAAGCTTTAATTATGAGGAACCAGAGATGGGTGTAACTACGACTGGAAGCTCTCACTCCAACTGCTTCCAAGGCAGATTGTTGTAAAGCAATAAAATAAAATCTTCTATAGTTGTAAAAACACTCAGTCTCCAAACTTCATTTGTTGCTTCCAGGAAGGAGCGCAGTGAGCTCACAGGTCAGCAGCCACTCCTCACCCACCTTGACACTGACTTCCAACATTTTCCTTTGCTACCATGCTGAGGTCTGAAGCAGTGCACCTGCAAGCACTTTTTACTGCTGTGAAGTATACTTGCTGGTACATGCAGATGTCCATTTGCCAGCTGAATACATTCCACATGTGCTTGAGCATTACTCTGCTGCCTGTTCACACAGATCCACACACACGTAAAAGTGATCAGCCAAACTTCACTCTTTGCTGGCAACACAGCATCCAATGCAGCAGCACGAGGCCCCAGAGCTTCCCTTCCCAGCACATCTTCAACACATGCCTTGAAGTAACAGAAGTTCAGGTGCATGACTATTGGACCTGGCAGCTGCTATGAGCAGATGCCAGTGCTGCACACATTGTTACTACTGCAATAAAATAAGAAAGGAAACAAAGCAAGAATTTCATAATTAACTGCTCTGAGTTTCTCTGCTTTTCACTGTACTCCTGTTATGGAAGTGGCTAAGCAGAAAAGTTGCAGTGAAACTCCTAGTGCAGGGAATGGCAGCAGCACAGCCATTAGCTCTGTTACTTGCCCTTGGTGCTGTAACTTATTTATTCTTACAAAGCAAAACCAGCAACTTGTCCTGGAGGAAAACACAGAAAATGAGATGTCTTCAAGTCTGTGTTTTTCTAAGGATGCAAACTATTTGGTTTCCAGGCTCAGGAGATAACTGGGGGGAAACATCTTGGAACAGAAGGGGAAGGATGCATCAGCCTCTGCTGAGGAGCAAATCAGTCACACACTAATTTGGATGTTCTACAGGGAGCGAAACACGGGATGACACACAAACCCTCCTGCAAACAAAAATTACCCAAACTTCTCATTATTTCAGGTTTCCTACTGAGAATTCTTGCAGAGTTTTTTAAAAAAAGAAAAGATAAGCACCTAAAGGAAAGGGAAATTGCATGCAGGAGTCCCATGGGCAGTAGTTACGGGGCTGACACCAACACTGAGGGTCTGCGCCTGCCATTTAATACCAAAGACACTGCTCCACGTTCAGCAACGACGTGCAGTTATTCTGCAAACAACAGCATGAAACATTCAAAATCATAGAATTGCTTTCTCTATCAACAGTTAGATCTGAAAATAGGGATCAATGTCATCCCAGTGTAATTAGACTTATTTTTGCTCACTTTCAAATCCTTTTAACCACAGTGACACCAAGAGCTCGATTAAACTGCATTTTTGGATGGCACTTTGGTTTATGAAGGTATAACATGAAAAACAGCCAGAAGAAAAAAAAAATCTAAAGCAATGTGAAGTATTTGCACAGATTACTGAGGAAGAAACACGGACCAAAACGAGACCATATATATATTTAGGCCCTTGCCATGAGACTCTACCACGCACAATTTGCCTGATTGTTCTGCTATTGAAAGTGCTAAGAAGGCGATTCATAAAATTGCTCTTTACTCAATGTTTACCTAA